CTTCTTCTTCTTCTGGTGCTGGGGACCTTGTGCTTACCAGGTGGTGTTGCACTGCTGAGCTATCTCCTCAGCTATATTGCTGCTACATTAAATATTTGCTTTCCTTAGAGACATTGTGAAAATACAATAATTTATTAACAAAAATCACCTTGCTTTATGAATAGAAGTCACCAAGCAGAACATTAGAACTCATCCCCCACCCCCTCAAATCGCTGGAACTTTGGTTCCCACTCTGCAGTCCCTGTGTTCTCTTCCTAGCCTGCAGTGACCAGGATCCCCTTCCCACTTCTAGGAAACCCACTGTTTGGCTTCACGCGTGAGCTGGAATGCAAGGTACTTGTCTCTCTGTGCTTGGTCTCTTTCACTTAACATACTGTCCTCTGGGCTGATTTATGTTGGCACAAATATGCAAGGATTCCATGCTTTCTTACTGCTGACCAGCATCTTACTCTGTATGCCTATATACATGCCATACTTTTTAAATTCATTCACCTCCCACAGAGGTTGCTGATCAAAGATCTTTTGCCAGGATTCTCACTGAGCCCAGAATGAACTTTTAGTTCACTCAGCTGTGATGCTCACCGGGTGACTGCAGCAGCAAGACTGTGCTATAGGGGGCGACAGAGAGAGCCCTGTGCCTGTGTAGATGGACACTGGTGATGTGGGACTGTACATGGCCTCCTGTGGCTCTGGCTGGGGTGGTGAGGTCTTCTTCAGTTGTCCAGGTTTGAATAGGGCCAGGGAGGGAGGGAACATGGGAGCCCAGAGACAGGCTGCTGGCCTGTCCCGAGTCACAACCACACACAGATGTGGAAGACAGACAGACCTATCTTCTAGTAGGTTTGGTCACTTTGCCACTGAAAGGTGGCACCCTGGATTATGGCTAGTACTGCCACTTGGGTCCCTGGGACAGAGCTGCTGCGCTCCCTGGGCATGGTGGACTCCTGCTCCCTAGTCATAGGGTACCAGTAGACTTGGCAGCAGTGCCCCAGCTTCTGCATGGTCAATGTGCAGCCACTGGGGGCACAAAAGAGACAGGAGGGACTCATATACCACTATCCTCAGTGGACAGCAGTGGAGGGGCCTAGCGCTTCCCAGGCTGAGTTTCCCTGACCTTTCCCTCTGGCTGCAGAGCCTGGGTGTTCATGCTCTTGGGACATGCTATCCCCAGACCCCCCAACCCCCCACCCTATCCCTTTTGTGCTAGAACTCTGAGTGGCTTCCTAAGAGAACTAGGAAGCTGGGGGTTCAGCAGACCTCTGGGCTCTGAACACACAAAGAAGCTGACGTGATGTGGCCATGGCCCAGGCCAGACACTGGTTGAAAAGGGAAGCTCCCTATCCTAGCCTGTGGTCTGGCCCTGAAGCCTCAGTTAGGGACAGTCCCTGAGAACAAAGGAGCCAGGCCCATGCTTAGATGACAGGTGCTGGTCCTTCCTTGAGTGTAGGAGCCTCTGTCGCTTCAGGGGGGGACAGGTCTCACTGTCACCTCTGAGAAGAGCCCATGCCTGGCAAGAGAGCAGGAGTCACTGGGGAAGCCACATAGACAGCATGCAGAGCTGTCCCTGAGTCCTCAGGCAGGGCCTTGGCTGTACTGTAGGTGCAGCTGAGGGAGGAACCCACAAGTCCAGGTTACTGAGCCATGAGCCAGGGCCCAGGAGAGGAAGGGCTGTTTCATCTCCTGGGGAAGAGTGAGATGGGGGCTAGGCCAGAACCCTTTTTCAAAGGACACACCTAGTTAGCAGGACCAGAGAAGTCAAAGTGTCTGGATGTTGGGGTGGCCCGGTATGTGGTCCTCCCTCCCCACAACAGAGGGTCTAGCTGAGCACAGTAGGAGCTTAGGGCCCCCACCATGCACATTCATCCCTGTGCCCCCAGAGCAGCCAGGGGCACCCGTGGAGGGCGTGCTACCCTGTGTGCTCTTACTCAGGGCCTGCCTGGAGTTCCTGTGTGGAAACGAAAGGGGCTGCCCTTCAGTGGAGTTGGGGAAGCTGGCATGTGATCAGCATTCAAGAGCAGGTGGCCACCAGCAGTGACTGCAGGGGAAGTGGCTGTACTAGAGACCCAAGGGGCTGGGCTTCCTGGGGTTAAGGCCAAGCCTTAAGACTCAGGAGGGTCTGAGTGGGCCTCTCTCAAGAGAAGGCAAAGAGGCTAGCTGTCTGGTTGGGGGACAGGGTGGCCCACAAAGAGATTGAGTTTTTTCTCTGATGGGCCACCAGGGTGCTCCTTCAGCCCTCTGTGGTGCAGACACAAGAGAATGGGAACCCCAGGCCCTCTGCCTCATGCCCCAAGTGAAGTCACTAGACTTTCAAGGCCTCCACTGACATTTCCTAGCAGTGGCATCAGGATGTGAGCTGATGTGTCTGACCCAGCTCAGGCCTGAAGGGCACAGCTAGGGCCCAACTCAGGGAATTATCAGTTCTATATCAGGTCTATAGCTGGATACTCCAGCACAAAGGAAGGCTTCTTCCAGAAAGATAGAGGGCTAATGGTCAGACATCAAACAGCCTAAGGAAGGTGTGGGGGCCACTGCAATGATGGCCTCTGTCTCTCTGGGGTGATGTCATATATGTATGTTGTGACACAGAATTCAGTGTGGAGGGTGATCTCCCATCCCATACTGGGAAATCAGTGAATGCGGATCTCATTTGACAGACAGAAACTGAAGCCCAGAGGGATCAGGCAGCTATGGGTCCCAGGAGCAATCAGTCACTACGCCACGACTAGAACTTGGACCTGTGTGAGGTCCCACCTGATCTTTGTGGCCACATCTTCAAAGAGGTGCTGGGCTGGGGGCAGAAGACCTGGCTTGGGGCCCAGCTTGACCCTGAAGTGCAAGAGAGGGTACCACAAGGCTATCGGAGACACAAGGAGCTTGAGGGCTGGTCAGATTCAGGGGTGAGGAAGCCAGAGGCAGAAGCCAGAAAGGATATGTGGGAGGCATTTCTGAGGCAAGGAACCTTATGAGCAAGACCCCATGCAGGATTTAACTTGGGAGGAGGAAGGCGCTGTACAGAGGCACTGTGGCAAGTGGATGCGAGAGAGACCGGGGATGTGGATATTAGCACCTCAGGTCAGGAAGGCCCAGTGTCACTGTGCTTGCTGCTTTCAATGCTGGCAGGATTGTGGGGGTAGAACATTGGGATTCAGTCACATGGGGTGGCTGAAGGACAGGGATATTTTGAAGTGATCTCAACACCTTGAACACATCTCGGCAAGCACTGTGTAACACTAGACAATGTGGCCACCTGCTGTCCTAGTCATACAAGGACAGCAAGCTCCTGTGTGAGTATTGAGGGTG